CTCAGAATAGGCTTATACTATCTTTTAAAGACTATCATTAAGATGAAAACACAAAATTAAAAAGTTCAGAAGAGAAAATGGTGGACTCCTGAGATCCACCCACAGACCCTGGTCTGAGAAATGCTATGCTGTATGAATCTTCTCTCCCGAAGAAAAAGTAGGCTCTCCCTTCCCTCGTGTCTGAGTCAGAGATTTCCTGAGTCAGGACGACCCTCTGACACATCTTAATGGGAGAAAAGCCATATTTATAGCTAATGAATAAAATATTAGCCGACTCTGCTAAGTACTGACAGAGACTCAGCGCTAATTGCTGCCCTGGGACGAACCTGCTTTGCTCACAGAAATAGGGGCTGCTTATTCAAGAGGTATACCAGCCAGCTTGGTTTGCATGAAAGAATGATGACAAAGAATAATCTCCCAAGAATCATTTCACTGTTGGGGACTAATGAGATATTTATTCCAGAGATAACAAGGGATGGAGAGGCCAAAGGTTGAGGAAACCAAGACTCATTGTACACCCTCTGTATTTTCCATACTTTCAATTTATCTCATTTAGTCTTCATGACAATCAATGAAGTAAGTATTATTGTGTTGACTTTACAGATGTGTGTATCACAGCTCCGGGCTGTCATAGTTGTAGAGGAGGGGTTTTGGCTCTATGTGAGTCTGACCCCAGACTTGTACTGGGTGCAGTGCCTAGTGCTGCTTCTCCCATTTAATACAGGATATGAAGAGGTTCAAAAGTGAAAGCGCCTACTGTAAATGCACTGAGTTTCTAACAAGATGATTAAAAACATATATCCATAAAAATACAGCTAAAACATAGACTTCTCTTTTATGAATAATAGTTGAAAATAATGAAAGTTTTATTTAACAATATGATGTATTCCTTAGGTGTTTTAAGAACTGCCAGGTAATGGAGGGGTAAAGACCCTGTCTACTGTACCAATGAGTAGGTCTTGGACAGATGGCTGGGAATCTGGGGTAGGGAGGCCGGTTTTGGTCTGAGCGCAACTTGGATTTTAAATAAATAAAACTAACATGTGTGTGCACACATATGTGTGCATGCATGTAAGATACTTTTGTCTACTTTGTACCTTGCTATATTCTCAGTGTGTATAAGAGGCCTGGCATATAGTAGTCAATGAATATATGTTGAATGAATAAAATCTGCCCCAACAAGAAAAACATTGGACTCTTCAGAGAATGAGCTTTTCATCAAATGATTTTTGAAGGCATTAAGGTTCTGATTATGGATTCCTGCCTTTGGAGGGGGTTATATAACAGCTCAGCAAGTTTTATCGAACACTCTCTAGGTGCTTGGCACTGCACTCGATGCTTTACGATCATTGTTTCATCTCTCACCACAACTGTATGAGTCAGGTCCTATCGGCCTCCCATTTTACATAAGTAGAAACTAAGGTTTGCAGAGGTTAAGGCATTTGTCCAAGGTTATGTAGATGTTAAGTGGTAGGGCTCAGTTTAAAACCCCCAGAAGTGTTAATACTATGCTGTGCAGCTTGCTACATCTGATAATTGCCAGGTCCCCTTCCAGTAATGAGACCCAATATATTCTGTTTCTAATCTAATATTTGTACTGAATATCAATACCATGAACATAGGAGACGTTCCTTCCAAACAAGCCCTGGTTTCCATGGAAGTTGTCCGTAAGGCTGCTCAGCATCACGGCACTTACTTGTTTAAGTTAACTCATCACCGCAACCTACAGTCCCAATTCCTCAGCATGGCACCTAATTAACTTGAGAATCCAACTTCATCTCTTATTCTTCTACGTCAGAATACTTTGCATCTGGGGGCATCATGGTGGCTCAGTGGTTGAGCATCTGCCTTTGGCTCAGGTCATGATTCCCGGGTCCTGGGATCGAATCCCACATCAGGCACCCCATGGCGACCTTGATTCTCCCTCTGCCTGTGTTTCTGCCTCTGTGTCTTATGAATAAATAAAATATTTAAAAAAGAATACTTTGCATCTGTTTATCCTCCATTTTATTATTACTGCCTTGTTCTCAGTCATGCTCTATCTCTATACTGAACATCCATTGGTGCATCCATCACCATCATAGCACACGTATAGTCACACGGAGATGCTCTCAGAATGTGAGTCATGAAGGAACCAAGATGGACTCAGAGCACAGAATTATATTGTCCCCTCAAACTGTCACCCTGGGGCCTGTGGTTCATTGAGTAAACAGTGCAAATCATTGCCTTAGCTGTCTAAATGGTTTTTCCTCTTTCACACAAATGCACAGAGAATGTGGCTTCACTGACCTACTCTGTGTTGTCATTTAACTCTTTTAAATGGGCGACTAAACTAGGAGTTCCTGGTACACGTGAACCACACCCAACACCACTTGGTCAGTTCCTTGGTGAACACAGAGGTCTTATCTAGTCCTTTCTGGGCTTGTTCCTCGGTGAACAAGGAGGTCTTATCTAGTCCTTGGTGGACAAGAACCTCCAAGATTTGGTTCCTGTCTACCTCCACAATAGCATTTCTCTCCATTCCATCCCAACCTTACCACACCAGTTCTACTTATCTATTTCTAATTTTCACCATTGAGAGCTGCTTCCTTACACCTCCTGCCTGGGCCTACAGTGCCCCTCCCTATGTTATCCAGTACATGTCTACCCTCCATACTCACTGCAAGTGTTGCCTTTCTAGATCCCTGCCCTTTTATAGGTAGTGTTCTGGCTTCCTCCCACGCTGAAGCTGGGCCATGTGACTTGCTTTGACCCATAAGATGTTAGCAAATATGATACAGCAGAGTCTAAAAAGTTGTTTGTGCAATCGGTACTGTCTTGCTTGCCTGCAGCTCGTTCCTCAGCTAGCTTGCTGGAGGGTGAGACAGCTGGTGCAAAGTCAGGTTGCCCCACTCATGCCAGCCAAGGCAATCCTAGATCAGCAGCTGCAGGGTGACCCCCACACATGAGCAACCCCAATCAATATCAGTAAACCTCCCTAAGGTAGTCTGCAACATACTAGCAACACTAGCTGAGCTCAGCCCAGATCAGCTGAACTCACACTCCTGCTGTATGCTGTTGATATTTTGTTGCTTGTTATGTAGTATGATTTTAGCCAAAAAAAAAAAATACAATTTCTAGAAAGACTTCATTGACTCTCCCAAGGACAGGCAATCACTCCCATATTGGTGCAACCTCTAAATCTTGTACTTTCCTCTATTAGAAAACTTAACACATTCTACTATTATAAACATTTGGTAAGTAATATAATTATTTGTTTTTATGTCTACTTCTTCTAAGCCTGACCCTCTTGAGAAAAGAACATTTTTGTGAGGAGGTGAGGTCATATAATCAAAACAATTTGGGCATCCCTGTTAGTACAGCCATTATGGAAAAGCCTATAGAGGTTCAATTAAGAATTGAAATGCCAGGACACCTGGGTGGCTCAGCAGTTGAGTGCCTGCCTTAGGCCCAGGTTGTGATCCTGGGGTCTGGGGATCGAGTCTCACATCAGGCTCCCTGCATGGAGCCTGGTTCTCTCTTTGCCTGTCTCTGTCTCTCTCTGTCTGTCTCTCTCTCTCTCTCTCTCTCTCTCTCTCTCTCTCTCTCCTGAGTAAATAGTCTTTAAAAGGGGGGGGGAAAAAAAAGAATTGAACTGCCATATGACTCAGCACTCCTGGGTATGTATCTGAAGGAAATGAAATCAGCATCTCAAAGAAATACTGCTTGACGCATACTAATACCGCATTATTCACAATAGCCAAGATATGGAAACAACCCAAGCGTCCATCAACAGATGAATGGATAAAGACACGGAGTATATATATATATACACAGCAATGCTATTTAGTCACAAGAAAGAAGAAAATCCTGCCATCTGTGACAACATGGATGGACTTTGGTGGCATTTATGCTAAGGGAGATGAGTCAGACAGAGAAAAACATTTACTGTATAGTATCACTTATACATGAAATCTAAAAAAACTGAAACTTGTAAAAGCAGAGTATTTCAAAAGAGTAAATCGTAGTTACCAGGGGCTGAGGGGTAGGTGAATTGGGGAGATGTTTAAGGGCACAAACTTACAACTAGTACATAAATTAGTTTTGGAGATCTAATGTGTAAACAGTGATTACAGTAAAAAATAATGTATTATACGTTTTAAAGTTACTAAAAAATTGATTCTTAACTGTTCTCAACACAAAAAAGAAATGAAAATTATGTGAGGTGATAAAGGTGTTAGCTAACTCTGTTGTAGTAATCCTACTGCAATTTGTAAATGTGTCAAACTAACACCTTGTACACCTCAAGTTGACACAATCTTATATTCCCATTATATTTAATAAAAAATAATTTAGAGATATTTGGGTTGGAATCACAGTTCTGCAAGAGGCCAAACTTTCTTTTTTTTTTATTATTTTAACATATATTTTTTTAATGAGGCCAAACCTTCTGAGCCCAATGTCTTTAGCTATAAAATGAGGACAGTAGCAGCAATTTTGCAGTCTTGAGAAAAGGAAGAGAGAAAATCTATATAAAGTAGCCAGCACAATGCATGACACATCAACGGGCTCAAACAGATAATATTTGCTTGAGTGAATATATGAACTGACACCTGTATGGCAAAATTCTCAGAATAAGTACAGCAAAAACAGAAGGTCTTTTGTCCCATTACCAATTCCTAACATCACACCAGCTGCCCACAGCATTCTGTAGCCTCTAATTCGATTTATTACTATGGAAGCTGATGTTTCAATTTACTGAACCCAACTGTATAATAAATAAAAGTACCTCAGAGGACCATCTTTGCAATTTAATGTCAGCACAGCAGTTAAAGGCAGTTTATTTAATCTCTCTCTAAAACAAAAGTTGCAGTTTGTTGCTTATAAATCTGTTCTTCCTGCAACCCTTCTGAGAAATGCAGACACCTGGCTTGTGCTTATTGCCTGCTCTCAGGCTGGCTAAGCAACCTGTCGGTGCTCAGTGGGCTGTGCTTCCTGCCAACTCAGGAACAGGTACTCACCTCTCCGGAGACAGGCAGCGCTCTTTCCCAGCTGCTGCAAGAGCAAGAGGCAGAGTGAAAAGGGGAGCAAGTGGCGGCCTGGTTAAAGTGAACTTTGTGCAATGCCCTGACCCAGAGACAAAATGAGGAATGGCAACTCACTGGCACCCCAAACCTCCCCCACCCCCAGCACCCAGGGGACCCTCTGTCCTGCAGTGCAGCACTCACCCACACTATTGAGTGCTTCTTTGTGAGGATGATCTTGATCTTTCAGATTAGACTCTGACCCAGAGCACCAGAACTCGTGTGGGGCTCTTTAACTCTCGTGTCCATCGCAGGGCCCAGGGCAAAGAGTGGAGCTAGCTGCTCAACACAAGCTTAGAATAAGGATAACGGTGTGTCTATGGAGCGCTTACTGCTGTGCCAAGCACTGTTTAAACTCCTTCCATGACTCATCTCAGTTATCCTCACAAAAGTCCTGGGAGATGAATGTTATGGTCAACCCCATTTTACAGATAAGGACAATGAGGCTCCGTGAGCAACATGCCCAAACTTAAAGAGCTAGTGAGTGGGGGAGCTGGGATTTACAAAGGCCATTTTATCACAGAAGACTTGGTGCTTTGTTCTGGGTTCTCTGACAACCTTCTTTGCTTTCAGAGAGACACTTTGAGACCTGAATTGTTTAATGTTTCTAAAAACCATACTTGGCCTTCTTGGTTATGGAGGTGGCCAAATTATTATTTGTTATACTTAGAAGAGCACTTTTTTTCCCTTTCTTTCCTTCCTTTTTTAGCCAGGTAAAGAACTTTATTAACCTTGTTTCAAACTTCAGTTTAATTAGCTGCAAAGAATTAAAAGTATCCAAGCAAAAACTGAAAAGTGCTGCAGTGTCGTCCAAGGGGCTTGCACTTAAAATACTAGAGATCTAGAGTCCATCAGATCCATGAACAAAATTTTTGAAAGCAGTCCTAATATAAGACAGCAGTTCCCAGGAACTTCTTCAAGTTTTGTCTTCTTCAGAAACTGACTCAGATCATTTTGCTTCATTCTTGGAAGCTTCCTCAAAGTTCCCCCACAAGATCCAGAACATCATCCTCTTTGTCCTCTCCGGTAACAAGTGGTGCTGTTTCAGCCTCGGATTGTGTGGGCAGAGCTTCAGCCAGGCTTCTTCAACTAGTCAGACTGTCTGCACCAGGTTGGTTTAAGACTCTGGAAGCATTTCTTCCAGCTGCTTCCTCTCAGCAAGGCCTGTGAGGGTGAAAGTGTTCGCTGCCTCATGTGCTGGAACTTCAGGGTTGTGGAGAGAGAGAATGTTCCTTGGTTTATGAACATACTCACTTCTTCAATACCAGCGATATTGTTTACTCCTAACTTCTTTAAGGGGAACTAAGGTTTGGGGCTTTTGGGTGGCTCAGTGGGTTGAGTGTCTGCCTTTGGCTCAGGTCGTGATCATGGGTCCTGGGATCGAGCCCCATGTCAGGTTCCATGCTGGGTGGGGGGTCTGCTTCTCCTTCTCCCTCTGCCCCTTACCCCCTGCCCTTCTCAGGCTCTTTCATGCTTTCAAATAAATAAATAAGACCGTTTTTTTAAAAAGGAGAACTAAGGTTTTTATCATCTGCCGTAGCCCTTCTGTGAACCATCTTCTAGCAAGCTGTTCCTTCCCCACAAATGTGCACCTGGGCTTGCAATCTGGCCCATTTCTCCTGGTTCGTGACAGTTTCTCTCATCTTGATGGAGTGGAAATGGGACCTTGGGGGACTAAGGTTGGTGCTCAGAGGGTCCCAGCCAAACCAACTGAGATTAGGTGCATGCATGAGGGGACACAAGATGGCAGCCAGCATGTTCTATCTCTTTATACAGAATTTTCTTTTAGGCTAAGACTCAAGATGATCTGCAGCAGTGGTTCTCAAAGTGTGGTTCCTGGACCAGTAGCATCAGTAACCCCCCTGCCCCGAGGAACTTGTTAAAAAGGAAAATTCTTAGGTACCCAATCCAGACCAAACAAATCCAGAAACTCTGGGAATGGGGCCCTGTGATCTGTGTTTTAACAAATCCTCTAGGTGATTCTGGTGCAGGCTGAAGTTTGAGAACCTATGAGTTCAGGATGCTTAACAATCATGAGGTTTTCAAAGCAGTCAAATGAGCAATGCAAGATGCCATCAGCTCTCTGAGCGTACCATCTGCTGGCACTCATGGCCACAGTAAGACAAATGTTAGCACGGAACTATGTGCCACACCAAAGTGTGTGTTCACATCATGTTCCATTAGAGCAAACATAAGCAAAGGTATTTACAGTGTCAACAGGATTCAAGCACAGTGTGGGTGGAAAGGGGATGAGAAGATATTCCTTTAAGTAGCAGAGAAAGACACAAAACAGCACAAAAAATTGGCTTGTTTCTGGAAAGGGCCAGTGGCAGGGGGTAGGGTGGGGGTGGGGGCCTTCAACTAATTACTGAAGGCAGATGACAGAGGCCTGAGGGACCCTCCATTAGGATCACAGGTCAAGTTCACACTGACTTTCCTCCCTTTTCACTCCCTCTCCTCTCCTATTGCACTGATTGTGTTGACAACACAGGCTTTGCAGGAAACACAAAAGCTCCCAGCTCCCTGCTCCACTACTTTCTTTTTCTTCCTCTTGGACCTAGTCCCAGTGATCAAATGCAATGCTCTCAGGGGAGGCAGACTGGCCCAGGAGCGATAAGGGGCCAATTCCTGCAGATTTGTCATTTCACAGGCAAGCTGCCACGGCCTCTACGTAAAAATAACCAGTGATGGGTGTCCAGCCCCATGGAAAAGCAGTTTGGCATTATCACCTGGGAGTTGACACAGAGAGAGAGATGTAATGGGGGGATGAGGCATTGGAGCCGTGACTCCCACTGGCTGGCTGTGTGCAGCCCTGTGCCTTACCTTTCCTGTGGCTCTCGGAAATCGCAGCCGCCTGCCTCTGGAAGGCCTGGAGGTTTACAACTGGTGGCTTTGGAGGCTTTGGAGGAGGAGGACCCAGGGACTTGATGGGAGGCAGTTGTTTTGTTTTGAGAAGTTGATGATGCCTGTCAACTGGCTGTTTCTCTGAGCCTGGATAGTAAAAAAACAAAAACAAAAAAATTAAATTTTAAACGCAGGCTATTACTATTTCCATTTCATGGCTTCCGCCATAAAATTGACAGTCCTTGCCTCAGTCTTTCTCCCCTCTAGTCTACTGTCCTCCTACTGACCAAAGTGTCCTGATCATATCTCGGGCCTGCTGCCCAGAGGACAAAGCCTGGCTTCGTTGGCTTGACATCTACGTGTGTACTCCATCCTCTGGCATGTCAATACCACATGGCCCCAGTCCACATTTCCAGATTCTCTTAACACACTTACCATCCTACTTTCCCAACCTTCAGCCCAAATATCTTTCACTCATGCAAATGGCTTCTCAATTCTCCAAATTTGATGTAAAAAGCCATCATATATCCAAGACTTCATTCATGCCTTTCTTGGTTCTGGAATGCTGTTCCCTCACTTCTTTCTCAGATAGCTCTGATTCATTCTTTAAGGCCCTCTGGGAAATGACACCTCCTCTGGGAAACTTTCACTGATTTTTAAATCAAGGTAAGAATTAACCTGTCTCTGTTTTGTATTCCCATGATGTATCCTTATTATGTCTCTGTCGGTGTTGTGATATATCAGAGGGGCAGATCTATCTTCCCATTGAGTGTTGGCTCCTCGTGTGTGGGGACCAGGGTATACTGATCTCTTGCCAGCATCAAGCACAGTGCCTACTTCCAAGGAAATGGATGGCAACTATCCCCTGAAGGGTGCTTCAGTTGCTTATGACATGCAAATAACATTGGCACTGTAAAGAGGAGGGGGATTGATGCCTGATTTCTAGAACTCATAGCCTGGGACAAGCTTCAGGGCTAACTTTGTGGTATATGGGCATCTGTGGATTTTGTGGTTTTATGTCCTGGAATTTCCCAGGACAGTCTCAATTTCATGCATTTTGCCCTTCTGTGCTCAGAGGCCAAACTCCAGCAGAAATTCCAGTATTGTGTTTGAAAATTGTATCTGCCTCTTAGACTGAAAATAGCACAAAATCTTGTATGATCCATGGGCCATGATTTGGGGTTCACATAATACAATGGTTGACAACATGCCCATCCCTGGTAAAAATAAAGACGTTGGCCAGTATTTTACAAGTTCCTCAGTGCAACTTCCACAGAGCCCTGCTGCCCTCTGGGAGCAAAGAGGTGATGGGTGGGGGAGGGGGGGAGCTTCCTTCTTGCCCCTGCCAGCAGGGGTTACATCAGTCTGGTCTGAGTTCCTCTCTTCACAGGCTTTACTTATAAGTTGCGATGTCAGAAATTATAGTTCTTATCAAATTAAGGAGAAGATGTAGTGAGAATGAGTGATCCCTTACTAACTGGGTTCCTTATTTTTACCAGGCCCTGGGCTAAGAGATGGACATGGGTCATTTCATTTAATCCCCTCAACAGCTCCATCGGGTAGATGGCCCATCCTTCTTTCCTTCTTCCCATTCATCCTCTTTTCCTATCCCTTCATCAATAACGATTTATCTACTATTTTCCAGGCATCATTCTAGAAGTTGGGTATAGAGTTAAGAACAAGAATAGAGATAGAGGCCTGGGTGGCCCAGTGGTTGAACATCTGCCTTTGGCTCAGGGCGTGATCCCAGGGTCCTGGCATTGAGTCCCGCATCAGGCTCCCCGCAGGGAGCCTTCTACCTCTGCCTGTGTGTCTGCCTCTCTCTGTGTCTCTCATGAACAAATAAAAAATAAAAATCTTAATAAAAAAAAGAATAGAGATAGAGATCACCCTCAAGAATTTTCATTTTAATAGGGGGAGACTGAGGATATGCATGCAGACAAATAAACAAGGTAATCACAGAGACCTGTCAGGTCTATGAAAGAACTAGAACAGGCTGCTATGAAAGAGCGCAAACTGCTGATGGTGAAGTAGTGGGCTTTAGCTAAAGAGGTTATCTGAAAAAGTGTCATGTGAACTTAGATCTAAATGCAACTACAGAAAGCTCAGAGGAGGGATTCCTGGGTCGCGCAGCGGTTTGGCGCCTGCCTTTGGCCCGGGGCGTGATCCTGGAGACCCAGAATCGAATCCCACGTTGGGCTCCCGGTGCATGGAGCCTGCTTCTCCCTCTGCCTGTGTCTCTGCCTCTCCTCTCTCTCTCTCTCTCTCTCTCTCTGTGACTATCATAAATAAATAAAAAAAAATTTAAAAAAAAAGAAAGCTCAGAGAAGAGTTGTCTAGGAAGAAGAACAGCAAATGTAAGTGTTCCGAGCATAATAAAGTCTCTTCATGGAATAGCAAGAAATCCATGTGTCTGCTCATGAGCCAGGAGGAGACGGGCAGCAATGAGTCAGATACATAAGCAGGGTCCAGGATGTGCAGAGCCATGAAATCAGTAGTAAGTAGTTCAGACTATTCTAAATTCAGAGGGGGAAGCATGTACTGTTGTAAGCAGGAGATTCCTCCACCCACTCCTGTCCATCCATCCATCCATCCATCCATCCACCCATTCAAGCATTCAACAAATCTTTTTTGAGGACCTACTGAACCTGGCTTTGTTCTTTTAGGTGCTAGGGATACAGTGATCAAGAAGACAGTTTTTATCCTTATGTAACTTATATTTTACTGAAGTAAACAAACAGCTATGTAACAATATACCAGGTGAGGATGGGATATGAAAGTCTAAGCCATGTAAGACAACAGAGACTAATGGAGGTGGGGTAGTTATTTTAGATGGTGACTCACAAATTCCACTCACAACAGATGACACTGAGCAGAAACCATAATGAAGTGAGGGAGGGAGACATCAAAGGCCTGGGGGGAAGGAAGTATGTTCCAGGCAGAGTATCAGCAAGTGCAAAGGCCCTGGGGTGGAACTAGCATGGTTTATCTAAGGGAAAGCAAGAAGGCCAGTGTGGTAAAAGGAGGAGTAAGAGAGGTAAGAGGGGCCAAATGACATCAGTTGGTATAAAATGGCCAGAGTTGAACTTGAGCAGGGGAGTGCTATGGTCTAATTTATGATTTAGAGGATCACTGTGCCCACTAGGAGAAGAATCAGGTCGTAGGGGGCAAGCATGTAGAAGCAGGGAAACCAGCCGGACCATTGTGGTCCAGGAGAGAGAGGACAGTGGTGTGGACAGTGGTCTGGACAGGGCAGAGGGCAGAAATTGACTAAAGCAGAAGGATACAGAACATATTTTGCTGGTAGAACCAAGAGCTTGCTGATGCAGCGGGTGCAAAGAATGAGGGGAAAGAAGAATAGAGCGTGGCACCTAGGCTTTTGGCTGCAGCAACTACAAGGAGGGTTGTGCTGTTTACCAAGTTGGGGCATATTGGTGATGAATCCGATTCACAGCAGAGCAGACCAGGCCGTACAAAGTTAAGTAGACTGCCCAAGCTTATGCATCTTTTAAGACGTAGAGCTAGGATTCAAACCCAAGCTTGACCAAACTTTCAATAGAATTGCAGGAGATCAAGCATTTACCCAGACCTGAAATTACAATTTGGCAGATGGGCTTAGAATACCTGCTCTGGAGTTTGGAGCAAAACTTGCCCAGATCAAACGTGACCATCAGTAAGCTCTAAATTAGAAGAACTTAGTGGCCCGTCCCCTAGGCCCACAAGGATGAATTCTCACCTGGGGTCTGGCTGGCAAGTTCACTCTCATAGACAGGCTGGCAGGAGCTCCCCGCTGGGCTCCTCTCAGGGTGAGGGGTTTCTAGGCTCTTCCTGCCATGTTGGAGAAATAGAAAAGTGGGATCTTCAGGTGATTTTCTTTGGGCCACCGAGTAACTCTGGGAAGGTAGGGTCTGGGCTCCTTTTGTTTCCAGCTGTCTCCTGGGTTCCTTTGGAGTAAGCCCTCTGCTTTGCTGCTCCTCCGGATGGAAGCCCCTGTTTGTATAACTGGTAAGGAAAGAAGCTGAAGACATCTCATTTTTCCGAGATGACACCTTCTCCCAGTTCCAGAGCTTGTCTTTGAAGCTATCTGTCACTGCTACTCTCCTCTTGTTGGTTATCTCAGCGCTTGGCTGACTCACGTCTAACATCAGAGAAGTTTTCTGTGAATTCACTGCAGAACCAGGAGACGTCTCCGGAGGTCCTGGGGAATTCGGACATTTCTGAATCTTGCTCCCCTGGGCCACTTTCATTTCCTGGAGTTTAAGAAGCTGGGGTTCAGCACTAGAACAGCACAGTGGGAGTGGATTGTGGTTGGGCAAGAGGGGTTTCCCATTGGCCAAAGTTCTTGTTGACTGTGTGTTTCGAATGCCACCCTTTCGAGAAACACCTGCTGAGAATTTAATAGGTCCTGGAGGAGGTGGCGCATCAAACTTTTGAAATTTAGCTCGAAGTTCCTTGAAGTTTCTTAGCCCTTCCTAAAGCATAAGAAAAAAAAAGTCTCATTACTCTAGGAAAAAAAACTGATTAGTTGACTTCACTGCGCATGTAAGTGCTGATACACCACCATTGCTTAGTGGGCCGTGTCAGCTGGTAACTCGACCTCTATGTGAGGTGCAACAAAAACAAAGGTCTCCTCTTTGAAACACTTCAGGTCTGTTTAATTCCGTCACAACATGTAAAGGATACTCATAAAGGAGACAGTATTGACAATTGCTGATAAAGCCCTTGATACAGATTCTTGGTGGTGCCTTGTTGCCTCTACAAGTTCTAAACTTCCTAGCACAGCATTCAAAGTTCTTCATAATCTGGTGGGGTTATGGTCTCCAGCCACAGCCCACCACAAGTACCCTTAAACCAAATGGCATTATCATTTTCTAGAAATCTGTACCATTGACCACCCTGACTTTGCTTATGTGTTCTTGCTTCACAAAATTCACCCTCCACCTAACTTGTCAGTTGCTCTCTTGCAACTTCGATGCCCACTTTTCTCCAGGAAGCCTTTCCCTGAGCTGACAGGTAGAGCTAACTTCTTCCCGGTCTCCTCGTGCTTCCATAGCTCTGGTTCTCTTGGCTGTTGAACTTAACTTTGGAACTAGACAGGTCTACATTTAAATTCTGACTCTGTTCTTTATCATCTAGGCAAATAACTCTGGGAAATGTGATATTAGCTCTCAGCATAGTCTCATCATGGAAAGAAGGGGTCAAGTGGTAAAAGGGTTAGGGCCACTATGCGTGGAGTGTCCATCACGGTGCCAGCAAGCCTGCGATAGATAAATCAGAGCTATTTGGAAGAGGCTAGCTGATGCTCTTGTGTTTTGACTCTCCTTGGGAGAGTGTGCTCTACCTTCTGAGCTGAGTACGAATTCAGTATATGAAAATAGTTGTAGGGGGGATCCCTGGCTGGCTCCACAGTTTAGCGCCTGCCTTTGGCCCAGGGCACGATCCTGGAGTCCTGGGATCCCAGCATGGGGCCTGCTTCTCCCTCCTCCTGTGTCTCTGCCTCTCTCTCCATGTCTATCATTCATAAATAAATCAATAAATCTATCTATCTATCTGAAAAGAGTGGTAGGAATAGCAGCCCAACCCTTGCAGCTGAGGAAGGATGTGCCCGGCATTACCCGGGCCGGGGGTGGCCTGGGCAGATAGGATGGGGCTTGCCTCCTGCTCAGTGTTGTTCCCACTGCTCCCCTTTTTTCTCACCAGGTCTGATTTAGTTTTATAACTGCACTTTGCCATCTTTTGTCTCCCCAGGAGGAAGGAAAGGGTGGAGGTAGAGTGTGAGTGGACAGTGCATGGAGCCCTTTCAGAGAGCCACTGTCTTCTCCTGGTCAATTTATAAAGGGCTGAGTTTCGTGTAGCAAGACAATCTCCACACCAGTCGCTTCTCGTTTTGCCATCTGAGGGAATGCTGGGTGACCTTTTCTCACCATGTTTACAGTTGACTCACACCTGTCCTCCGAAGATTCAGGGATGGAGGGAAGTTGAAGTAGCAAGAAGCAGGTGTCTGGGAGCTTGCTTGTATGCTCTCTCCCGCAGGCTGCCTGTCTCCAGGCCCTCCCTTCCTCTCTATCACACTCATACACACACACACACACACACACACACACACACACACACATATGCACACATGTACACATTTATAGTTTTTTCCCCATGAATTGCTAAGTCTTGATTTCTTACATAGATTTCAACCAGAGGTCAAATTAATTCAACTATACTTTCTTTCCCCTGATGTGAGGGAAGCCAGCACTGGGCATGGAACCTGGAGAGCTGAGTAGGAGGCTCTGCCATTTTCTAGTTATGCGCCTTGGGCAATTCATTACCCTGAGCTTTATTTTCCTCACTATAAAAAGGGACTACTCTACTAACAGTTGAAGGTTATTGTAAGGATCAAAGGAGAGAGCTGTAGACCTGCCGCAGTGGTTTATGTTTTAAAATTGTGGTAAGATACATGTCATTTAAAATTCACCCTCTTAACCATTTTATACGTATGATTCAGTGGTATTAAGGGCACTCACATTGCTGCAAATGTCCAGAACCCTTTTTATCTTGCAAAAGTAGAACTCCATCACCATTATGCAGTTCTCCACTCCCTACGTCCTACCCCCAGCACTCACCATTCTACTTCCTTTCTCTATGATTTTTCAAGTACCTCATATAAGGGGAATCATACCGTACAGTAATTATCTTTTTGTGACTAGCTTATTTCACTTAGCATACTGTCCTTGAGGTTCATTCATGTTGTGGCACGTGGCAAAATTTTCTCTTTTTTAAGACTGAATAATAATCCATTGTATGTATACACCACATATTGTTTATCCATTCGTCTGTTGGTGGGCACTTTCTTTGCTTCCACTTTTTAAATGTTTTAAATAACATTCCTATAAAGATGGATATGCAAATCTCTCTTTGAAATCCTGTTTCCATTCCTTTTGGGTATTTGCCAAGAAGTGGAATTACTGAATCATTATTGTAATTCTATGTTTAATTTTTTGAGCAACGACCATACTGTGTTCTGTAACAGCTGTACCATCTTAAACTCCTACTAACCTAACATAGGATTTCAATTTTTCCACATTCTTGTAACATAATATTTTTATAGCAGCCATCACAATAGATGGGATGTGGTCAGTGGTTAATATTTTTAAAGGAATGTAATGATGATTATTTTTAGCTCTTCATTATCTGAAGCCATATGAGCTATAGTTATCATTGGGTGGTAGATTTTAGTCTCTGCAGGGATGTTAGGAAAAACCCTAGCAGGAAATGGAATTATTCATTGATTCCCTCCAAACCCAAATCCTGTGTCAAGGTCACTGGTTCAGGAGGAAGTAAGCTTGATTATATCTCTTTCAATAAATGCTCATTGTGTGTCCATGATGTGGGCAAAAACACTATTTTAGACAAGGGTTCAGCTATTAAATATTATATTCTAAGGTCAGGGAGAGGCAGAAAATAAGCAAATACACATGAAAATATTAGAGATAGAAGCCATGTGGAGAACTGAATACCAAATTAAACACTGGGTGGCTGGGTGCCCACCAATAATTTTCCGAGCTCTCTTAGGGAAGTCATTCCCTTTCCAGAGCGGAGTTGTCTATCACATAAGACTGTTGGCCCAAGTGAGCACCAAGGTCCCTCTAGCACTAAAGTTTGGATTTTACTTTCTCTATTATGGGAAATAGTTGTGACACAATCTGTTGTTGATCATCACCTCTAGAGGAGAGGTCAGGGTTGAGGGCATGCGGCAAAGTACATGAGGATGGGTTGGGTGGTGCTCAGGGCTCATTCTAATGAAAACCATGATCCATTTTTCTGGACCCACAGCAGGTCTGTCTCCACATCCTACTAATGTCAAGTGTTTTTGTTTTATTTTGTTAAATAGGCTCAATGCCCAGCACGAGTCCCACATGGGGCTTGAAGTTATGACCATGAGATTAAGACCTGAGATCAAGAGTCAGACACTTAACCAACTGAGCTACCCAGCCACCCCACTGATGTCAAGGCTTAAGAAGCCCACAAACCCGTCCCTTCTTCATGCCATGGCCACTATCTCTGAGTCATCCTCACACATTGCAATGACTTCCTTGTGGTCTGTCTGCTTCTACTCTGGGTCCTTCCAACCCGTCACTTACCCAGCTATTAGACAAACCTGATGAAACACACATCTGATCATGTATGTCCCCAGTTTAAAATTATTCAGTTTGGCTTCCCCAAAGCTTTCACATCAACTGAAACTCTCTTGCATAGCACATAAGGCCCTCCCCCAAATCCCAACTCTGTTCATTTTCGGACATGATAGTGGGCCCTTCCCTAACACGTTTTCTTCCTTCTGGCCTCACTGAGTTGCCCAAGTTTTCCCGCCTATTCTGCTCTTTCATGCCTATGCCTTTGAATGTACCATTTCTTCTGCCTAGAATGCCCATCTCTCTCCCAATTTCTGGAATTAGAAAATTGCTGCTTGTTCATGATTCAACTCACGTCACCTCAAAATGTGCGTTGGTTTACTGCTATGTGCTAGGAATGAGGGTTACGATAGTGAGTTAGCATTCCTGACCTTTCAGAGCTAGTGAAATGAGGAAGCAGACACAAACTGATCACTTTAGTGTAGGAGAGATGGTTATTCGATACACAGCGTGACATCTGTGAGAACACAGAGAGTGGGTCATGACAGACGAATGGATAAACCAAATGTAGCAGGGCTACAAAGAAGGTTCTGTAAAAATGACTTAGTTGGAAGAGGCAGGCAAGTGAGGGTGGCAGGAAAGGTGGCCCCAATAGCAAGAAGAGCAGGAACAGAGAAGGCATGGCAGTGTGAAGCAGCATAGTGTAGATGGAAATAAGCAATTCTATGTTACTGAAGCCCTAGTGTTCCATATGGGAAGCTGGATGAGAATGTCAAGGCCAAGTCCCCTTAAAGTAATTAGGCTTAATCTTCAGAGTAGTTGGGGAGCTACTGATAAGTTTTACACAGGGCTAGGACAGACTTTGGTTTATATTTCATGCAGATTAGAGACCAGGAACTAATTAGGAGGCCAAATAAAAATGATAAAAGGTGGAAGTTGGACAGTGTTGGTAGGAATGGAAAAGAGAAATGTGCAGGGGGTGGTATGGACCAGACCTAGAGAGGGAAGGGAGGACTGCAGGATGATTCCTGGGTTACTAAATTGAGTAAGAGGATGGATGTTGGTTCTTGAAACTAAGACTGAGGACAGAAGATAAAAGTACTGGGGAGAAATGATGGGCCCAGTTTTGGATGTGATGGTTTGCCTTCTTAGGGGAGCCATCTAATAGGTAGTTATTTTGGGGTACCTTTTGGGGGTTAGAAATTTAAATTGGTATTTATTCACTTCTTGGTGAGCACAGAGCTTAAAAATATGAACCCTGGAGTCCAGCTGCCTGAGTTCAAATTCCAGTCTTGCCATTAATTGGCTTTATGACCCTGAGCCAATGACCTAAACTTTCTGTATTTGTTGCTTTATCT